TATATTTATGCCATTAACCAAAAATGTAAATTATTCATATTTATTTATCATAATGTAGACTTACACTCCTATTGTACCTATTATTTTAATTAAAACTTTCATAGTTTGTCTCTTATTTATATCTATCACTRAAATTTCTTATATGGAGTTATAAAATTTCTTATGTATAGCATTAAAAATTAAAATTATTGTAACTAAGTGTGTTTTTTTACTATTGATTAGGTGCATTTAATACATATCTCAATGTTTTGTGTGAAACATTTGATATTTATTCATACATTTTGTGTTATCCACTAAATATAACAAAACATAAATAATTTCTTGTATTAGAAATTTGATTTTGGTGAACAGTATTAGTTATGTCTTGAWTATCAAACATTTATGCATGATATTAATATATTATAAAAGACATTCAATATCCATTTACAAAGTGAAGTTTATATCATACTTACAACCATACTATATTTAAAAAATTTATAGTTGATAGTAAAATGTGTTTTTCTTTTTGAGCTAAGAATTATTTTATTTTATTAGAAATGGAACAACAATAAACATTTAAATATTATTATTATTATTATTATTACTATTTTTTATTTATACATATTTCATGTCTATATACTTATATACCTATGCATTAAAAATCATTTTATTTAAATAATCTAAGAGACTTCCCATCCACACTGTATTATATTAAAGACAACTATAATACTAATTTGATACTATTGTTACTTGTTTAATGTTATATTATTGTGTGGACATTATTTGTATGTATCTAAAACAGAATGTATTGACTATTGATATATATAGTCATTCCCTTTGCTAAGGACTTATCAATTATTAGAATATGCGTAGACCTTAAGTGTGAATTTAAAAAAAAATTTAGTTTATTTATAATTTAAAATTGTCTGATGATTTTTAGTTGTAATTATACGTTCAAATGCTTTTTTTTAGATATTWTAATTGGTATATTATTCCTTTTTTTATTTTTATATATTTATAGGTATATTAAGTAGCAAAAAATTTTAAAATTGTTTAATATTATACTATAATTTAAAAAAAAAGTTTTTTATTTGAATTATAGGGAAATGCTAGATTTGAATCACCTAGTCTGTATCCTAACTTAAAGCATACAATTCTTAATTGGAAAATACGCTATAATTTATAAGAGGTAGTTATTAAAATAAAATTTATTTTACCTTGTCAGCTTGACACTATGATTTTATAAGTGTGGTAAAAGAATTTTTACTTCTATAAAAAATCACAATTTTCATCTATCTTACTATTTAAGGTATTTTAATAAAGTCTAAAAAATCAATGTGGATTTCTGTTCTGAAAACTCAATAATACTATYGCCAAAACTCAGGTTTAATATTCYATCATTTTGGATTGATGATATATTCACAGAAAATCTAAATATTACAGCCCAATGTTGATTCTTAATTTTCATCAATCAAACCTTTCTCAGTTTGGCGGTATGGTCTCAATGACTGGGAACCCCTCCCCCCCAAAAAAAAACATTTATCAGTTTAATGAAGTTATTTGGAAATCCTTAATTTTTGTTGAAGTCTTAGAGACGATTAACACTTGTAATTTCAAAACATATCTCTACGATTGTGTACTAYACAAATKAGTCTTATAGATAGGACACAGCACAGCTAAATAGTGTGAACTGGAATCGTTGAAACACGAGTAAGTTTAACGTTTGTTTTCATAYAATTTTGGAGCATAAATTTACTTTTTAGATATGAATAAAATAGTTATTATTTATTACCACTAAAAATCTGATAATCGGGTGATGTAAAAACATATACTTATTCCCAAAAGCACAATTTATAAAATTCGTGAACCCTAACAATCCAAATGTCATCTACGTTTCACCGTGTCAAGTTTAATATGTATTTATTTTGCCTATACTACACGCCGCCGGGTAACACCTTAGGTTTGCGCTAAGTATAACGCTTAGTTATTATACTCATAGACGTAGACATAGGGGATTTATGTGTAATAGATCCCACTAAAAAGTTTTTGAGATTTTAAGTAGAGTTATGAATGTATTGATTTAATAACCATATTATTTTTTTTTCCTGTCATTAGTTTTTGGGACAATAAAAATGCAGTAATTGGTATAAATATTTTTTATTAAAACTCCTTTAAACATAGGCAATATAATATGCAGTAAATCCAAAGTAAATCTTCACGCGTATGGATGTTATCATTAGTTCTATGATAGTACATGTGTATTATCATAGAACAATATTATCAATATAAAAAATGTRCCGATTTCTCGATCATTCTGAAATTTTGAAAAATGTTTAGGCATTATAATATTATACCTATTTGTAATGTTATTAATGTTAATATCATAATTCACAGACATTTGTTGTTGAATTAGAGCAATAATTGTATTTAACTATTTATTCAACAACTATGAATAACTTGGTTTTAAGCTTAAGATTTTCCCGGAATATTAAATGCATTCAGTACTTGAATGTTCGATTCTACTCAGATTCTACTGTCAGAGTACGATTTGCTCCAAGTCCTACTGGTAGATATTTGATTATTATTACTTAAATTTAATCTATTTAAYATTAAATATAAACATCACTCCGCCAGTTTTATCATATTGATTACTAAGATATAATTAAAATCTACAAAAGTATATCCATCTGATTTGAAATTTTTTTTCATTTAGGACAGTTACATTTAGGTGGATTTCGTACAGCACTTTACAATTATTTATTTGCTAAATCAAAAGGTGGTAAATTCATTTTAAGAATTGAGGATACTGATCGTACAAGAGTAGTGGACGGTGCTGTAGAACAACTTCAAGAAGATTTGAAATGGCTGGGAATTGAATTTGATGAAGGACCTAGTAATAATGGATCATATGGTCCATATATTCAATCTGAACGCCTGGAAAATTACCAGTATAAATTAAATGTAATATTTTTTAATTTATACGATTCATATTGACTTCGTTTTAAGGAGAAGAACACAGCAATTGTTAAGTGCTGGACATGCCTACAAATGTTATTGTACCGAGAAAAGATTAGAGCTTTTAAGAAGAGATGCATTACGTACTAGAACTATTCCCCGCTACGACAATAAATGTAGACATTTAGATGATGATGATTTAAGAAACAATGAAGGGAAAAAATATTGCATCAGATTCAAAGTACACCTTAGACTTTTCTTATTTATTTAACATATTTAATGCATACGAAATTGATCTTTAGTTGAACCAAAGTGATGGRTTTTTCAATGATCTAGTATATGGTCACATTGCAAGAAATGTGGCAGCTGTTGAAGGAGACCCAGTAATACTAAAATCTGATGGTTTTCCAACTTATCATTTAGCTAATGTTGTTGATGATCATGATATGAAAATTACACATGTCCTTAGAGGTGTCGAATGGCAACCATCAACATCTAAACATATGTTACTATATAAGTTAGTAACTCAGCAATTAAAGAAAAAAATTATTATTTATGTACTTGTTCCTAACAATTTAATCATATAACAACTWATTTAAACATTCTAGAGCATTTGGTTGGAATCCACCAAACTTTGGACACTTACCATTGTTGATCAATAAAGATGGTACAAAACTTTCTAAGCGTCAAAATGATATAACCATTGACGCATATCGTCAAAAAGGCATTTATCCTGAGGCACTTTTAAATTTTGTTATTAGTTGTGGGGGAGGATTTGTTCAAGATAAAGAAGCAAATAATGTTTACATAAAACCTCTATCAGAACTTATTTCTAAAGTGGGTATGGAGTATAGTTTCAAAGTTAAGAATATTAAAATTATTATAATTTTCATATAGTTTGATATAAGCTTAATAAATTCAAATTCATGTCAAGTCCCTCTGGATAAGCTTGGACATTTTAATCAAGCTCAATTAAAAATTGAATTAAACACAGATTTAGGAAGGAAACGAACAACTGAAAAATTAAAAAGTATTGTTCAAAATACATTTTCTAACGAGTAAGATTTAATTTCACTGTTTTATAGTAAATTTCTTTTAATTATTTAACTAAATTCACAGTAAGTGATAGATAGAAACTAAAAAATATTTTTATTATTTATGTACTCTATATTGTTATAAGGTAAATTATGTATATACATTTTTATTTGCAGCAAATCAGTAGAATTAGATTTGTCTGAAAATCATTTAAACAAAATACTTAAGTGGAGTATTAATAGAATAACAAATATTAACGAACTAATTCATGAAAACTATAAATTTAT